TCTCACTGGTCTCCACTGATGCTCCTGCCTGCAGCAATGGAGTGAGGGAAACGAATGTAGCATGCTACAGAGAGGATCTGTCTGTGCCACTGACTGTGTGACCTTGAGAACAAGCACCTCACAGTTCTCTGCTTTGATAGCCCCCATCTGTAACATAGGAATAACAGTAACAGACTGGAGAGATGGTTCAGCAGGTTGAGGTACTTGCACACAGGACTGACAATCTGAGAAGTTATCCTCTGACCTCTACATTGTCTACACTCCATAGACATATAAAAATAAAATAAATTAATAAAAACTGAACAGTAATAATGTTCACCTTTTGCTGTCAATTGGCTGAACTGACAAACATGAAGTATTCTGAAACAGCCTGGCACATGACAAGCTCCCAAAAACCCACAAGCCAGAAGGTAACCAGATCATGTCCTTCCCTATCATGTCTAAAACTCTCTAAAAGGAAAAGGGGGAGGGGGAAGAGCAGGCAGGCCAACCCTCCTAAGACCTCCCATCACTCTGGGATTAAATTTTAAATCCCTCACCACAGCCTCTACACTCCAGCAAGAAGCAGCCCTCCCCAACCTCTCCAACCTCATTTCCTGCCACTCTCTCTCCCTCCCTAGCCACAATGGCTCTCTGATGTTAACAACTCATGTCAAGGCCTTTACCCCAGAGTCCCCTCTGCCTGGAAGGCTGCATCAGGCTGTAACCAAACACATCACCACACTTCTTAAACACCTATTCTGTCTCCTTCCACCTACCCTTTCTTCCTTTGCCCTTCAGGATGCACAGACATTAGGAATGCTTCCCGTTTTCCCACTCCAGGTGGGGAAAACTAGCCTCATCAGGTTCATTAGAACAGAACCTGGAACACAAGTACTACTGATGAGAAAGAAACAGCATCGGTTTGAAAATCACTGATCTAGAGCCAACAGCTTCCACTCCACCATTTTTTTCAACATAAACACCAGGTACCTTCAAGCTACTTTCATTCCCTTCCTGCTTCATCTGAACTCAACCTGTCATGCCTGAAACCAAAGTCATTGGCATACAAATTCCTAGAGCACCACATTAGTATAAAAACCGGAAAGAACAGCAGGCAGTATTACCAAATTGTTTAAAAGCAAGTAACATCAACTTGATATAAACAGTCCTAATTGCAGTGGAAGGCAAGGTAAAAATATCTGCTGGCCTGGCCACTGTACCTTCTTCATCCATGCTCCAAACAAAACATATACCTTGAGAAAGACAGTCACTAATGAATAAGGAAAACATCTTGATTAATCTAGTGCAGCAATTCTCAACCTGGGGGTCAACCCTTTCACAGGGGTCAAATATTAGATATCCTGCACATCATATATTTACATTATGATTCATAACAGCAGCAAAATTACAGTTTGAAATAGCAACAAAAATAATTTTATGGTTGCGGGTCACCACAACATGAGGAACTGTATTAAAGGGTCTCAAGCATTAGGAAGGTTGAGAACCACTGATTTAGTGGATAATTTTTAAGTGAAATTGTTGTTACTGATTTGTTCTAGTTCATATACTATGAACATATTAAATACAGGTTTTTAGGCACAACTATTTACCTCACACCAAACTGTGGGCTTGGAAATTCATGTTAGAAAGTTAACACAGAAAATTGTCATGTTTTCCAATAGAACTGACCCTTTCCAAGCCGCGGGGGGGTGGGGGTGGGGGTGGCATACACCTATGATCCCAGCACTCAGGGAGGCAGAGGCAAGAGGATCGCTGTGAATTCGAGGCCAGCCTGGTCTACAAAGGGAATCCAGGACAGCCAATGCTACACAAAGAAACCCTGTCTTAAAAAATAATAATAATTGGCCCTCTCCAAGCTTTCATACTAAGCTTGACCATTTCCCTAATGATTGTGTAATTTCATTGACTACAATCGCCAAAAGTAGATAACCTCTAGCTATTTAAACAATATTCTCTGGTCCTGTGTATTTACACGGCTAATCCCAGCACTCAAGGCAATAAAATCCAGTTCTTAAACTCAACTTACTGATGAAGGAAATTTGGATTAAAAATTATGAGCAGGTCTTCTTTGTGCCCTTATATCAATAAGAATCCTGCTAAGGGATTACACTGTTAAGGGAAACGTTAAAACACTGCATTTTTAAAGTTGAGCCTGGTGGTACAGGTCCATAATTCCAGATACTTGGAAGCCTAAGACAAGAGAATTAAAAAGTCAAGGCCTACCAACATACAGAGTGAGTTCAGGCAACTTGGTGAGACTATTTCTCAAAGCTGAGATATACCTCATGCTAGCACTTGCTTAACATGTGCTCTTATTCTTGGTTCACTCCCCAGTACCAGAAAAAAAGAAACTATATTAAAATACATCTACAGCTACATAACATATTTTGACCACTGCTGAGACAATGTACAACCCATACATAGTAACATCTGGAAATAAATGAGCAGTAGGGTACAGAGACCAATGAAGATGAGCCTATTCTGTGTGCCTTTTTAAGCGTTTTATGTATGCAGGCACTGCTTGCCTTCCTGAATGTATTATATGCATACTTAAGTTTTTAAACCTACAAGCAAAAGCTTTATACTTTTGAAAGTATTCTAATTTTATCTTAAAATGTCAATACTATTAAAGTGATTAAGAAGACAAACTGCCCGTGGGCTTTTGCACTGTGCTTGTAGAGTTCAGCACTGTAATTCCAGAGGGGAAGGTCTAGCACATGACCAGTTGGAGACTGTTCATTCACTGGACAAGATGGGTTTAAAGGCTTTTTTTATTATTATTATTATTCTAAGACAGTTTAAATGCTTTACACACATAAACTTAGAAAGAAATGCATTTGCCTATGAGCCAAGATGTGTTTTGGGCATGATGTTATTTCTTGGTAGCTAATCTCCCTGAGTTGGCCTACCAGCAATGACTGAATGAACACATCATGGAAGATACACGTCATTAATTTCTCTCTTCAACAGTGTCCTTGCACAAAGGTCTCCTTTGCGCCTTCCTACTGGAGTTTCACAGCTGACGTAGAAGTAACTGAATGTGCCCAGTTTCTGAAACCCCTTGACATCTAACAGGCATGGAGAACACATTCCTTTCAAAGCCTGTGAATTCCACCTCTCCACCACTGTGAGATCAAAACACCCAGCCCAGTGTGTCTCATCCAATATTTATCAAGCCCCTGTTGTGAGGTGCCCACGCTGTGAATCTGTCCCTTGGAGGAACCTGAAGGAACCCAAGGGAGCATTAATTCTCTCGTTCCAAAAGGAGCTGTACCAATCAACCTTCTGCCTCCGTTTTCTTCTCTTTTCCCTCCAGGGAACCCTCTCAAGCAAAAAGGGTAAAGAGGCTTCATCTCCGAGAAAGGAAGAAAGAGTTGGCTTTTACAAACAGTTTTGGAAAATGCAGCTTCCTTTCAAAGGAACAAAGAGGATTAACACAGTAAACTACTGTTTGATCATCTTAATTACAGCAACTGAAGTATAGATAGATAGATAGATAGATAGATAGATAGATAGATAGATAGATAAGCAAGCAAGTTTGCTGTCAGGCCACTTTTCCTTATTCTTCCAAAATGGAACGCAATAAGCGTTTTCAAAAGAAGAAAAAGCCCTCATCAGAAGTAACAATCCAAACCTGCTAGCGAAAACATTAACCTCCACCAGGCACTCCGGAGCGGATAACCCCCTCATAAATCCCTAACGGAACACATTTCTGGTCCTCGACAGGCCGACTCCGGCGTCACTACAGTCTAGCGTCCAGAGCCCCATCTGACATCTTCCCTCCTTATAGACTCCACACAGTGAATTTTCCTGCTGCCTTATGCGAGCGCGTCAAAATTCACCTCCAGCCACTAATGTCCCAGATGGCTCCCACAGCAGAAGACGCGCCGGGCACTCGGGGCACTCGGAACTTCGTCACCCGGGCGCACGGCACCCCACGTAGACTCTGAGCCCTCGGGAGGGACGCGGACCACCAAAGAAGCCTCCCTTACCGGGGTCACGGTGTCCACTCCGTGGGAGCGCAGTGTCTCCTCTGCAGGACACGAAGTGCTCTCCACAGGGCGCAGCCTCCCTTCTGTGGGGTGTAGGGTGAGGGTCTCCCCTCCTCGGAGCACAGAGTACTCTCCGCAGGGCACAGGATTCCCTCCCGGTGACGCATTCTCACCTCTGCGGGGCACTTCGTCCCCTTCCTCCGGGCGGAGCACATGGTCCCTTCTGCAGGGCACAAAGTCCCCATCCCCTGGTGCAGCCTCCCCTACTCCCAGCACAGGGCTCCCACCCCCGGCCTTAGCCCCTTCCCCTTCTGCTGGGCACGGGTCCCCTCTTCAGGACACAGCCTCCCCTCTGCCAAGCACATGGTCCCTTCTGCAGGGCACAGGGTCCCCATCCCCGGACGCAGCTTCGGAGTGACACAGGGTGTCTCCTCTCCGAGCGCAGCCTCCTCCCTACTAGGCAGAGGTCCCTTCCCTAGAATGCAAGGTCCCCATGGCCCGGGCGCAGCTTGCCCTCTGCAGGGTACAGGGCTCCCCTCCCGGGGCGCAGCCTCCCCTCTGTTGGGCAAAGGTCCCCTCCCGGGGTACAGGATCCTCACCCGGGGCACAGGTCCCCTGCGCCCGGGCACACGGCTGTCCTCCCCGGGCGCAGTCTCCTCTCGGACGGGCACAGGTCCCCACCCCGGAGTACAGGGTCCCCTGGGCGGGCACAGCCTACTGTCCGAGAGGCGCACTCTCGGCTCGCCGCGGCGCAACGCATCCCACGCGGACAAGCCGTCCTGGGCGCAGCCTCCTCCCGCAGCGCAGCGCATCCAGGAGGACCGCGGCCCGCCCTCAGCGCGCCGCCCGGGATGCGCCAGCAACCCCGCAGCCCGCCGCGGGCCCGGGCCGGGGTCTACGGGGTCCGGGGTCGGTGGTCGGCTCCACGGCCGCCGGCGCTGCGCGGCCTCAGCCACCTGCCCCGCGCTTACATAAACGCGGCCGCCCGCGTCCCCGCCGCCTTACCTCGGGTCACGCTGCGCCCGCGGGCCGCCGGCGTCGGGGGGTGGGCGCTGCGGCGGGCTCGGCTGGCCCCCCGCGGCCCCGGCCAGGAGCCCCTCGCCGCCGCCGCTTCAGCCTCGGCTACCTCAGCCTCAGCTGCTGCCTCAGCCTCTGCCTCAGCCTCGGCGCCGGCGGCTCCGCCCCCTCTGCTCGCCCCGCCCCGGCCGCCGCAGCCGCGCGCGCGCGCGCATGCAGGGGCGGAGCCAGAGCCCGACGCCGACGCGCGCGCGCCCGCGCCCCCTGGCCCGAGCCGGTGTCCCGGCTCGCCCGCGGCGGGAACGGCGAGGACTAGTGGTTAGAACCGAGACGGGTCCTGTGTCGCTAAGGAGACTCGAAGGGGAAGCGAGCCTCGGACACGCACTGACAAGATCGGCGGAGGCGGGATTCTCGAACTCGCACTGAGGAGACCCGAGCGGGCGGGAGCCTCGGATGGGAACCGAGGGGACTGGTGGGGGCCAAGGACCCTGGAGATCCTGTGGAAGCTGGAAGTGGGCAGGAGCCTCGGAGAGGAGCCACTGAAGTGCGACTGTGACTGCCCGCCTGAGGACCCACTGGACTCTGTGCGTGGTACCGCGGGAGTCATCCCTGGCCCTTCCTCTAGTTTTCAGAGATGTCCCTGGTCACACCCACCTCAGTAGACGTTGAAAATAGGTAGGGAGAGAACCAGGGACGTGACTTTTTGTGAAGCAGTGTGTCCAGGGTTGGTCACTAGAAATGGTAGTCTGTTTTCTTAACCTAGACGCCAGGGTCAAGTTAAGGCTCCCCCACCTCTTAGGCGTACCGGACATCTCGTTTACTTGTTGTGTTTCCTCATTTGTTTAAAAATAAAAAGGCCTAGTAAAAGATGGACGCACGTAAGTACTGTGTCGAGCGCCCAGGGTGTGGTCCGCACTTTGGCCTCCCAGCTGACAATCTCACCCTGGGGTGCTATGCCAGAAGGGGGCCCGAAGAGGTCCACAATCTGAAGCGTAAACTGACCTGGGGAGTAGCGTCGCAGCGGGTCAACGTCTCGGCTCCCATCACCTGGCATAACAGAAAAACCTGTCCCTTGGACCAGCCCTCCAGTGACTTCTTCAGTCTTTTCTAAAAATCTGGGCAGGGTCGGCAGGTGTGCTTGTTGGCAAGTAAGCTGAAATCATCACTCTTGGAATGCCTACTGGGACTTCAACCTTAACTCTGCTTCATGGGTGATCTCACTCCCCTATGTGAGGAGGCCATGAGGCCATGTGTTACCCTCTGCTTGTAAGCTTCTCATAATGGCTGTGGTCTGCCCACAAGAGAGCAAGTTCCAGCGTACTACACACATCACCTGTTTTCCAGTGACTCACTGACCAAATTGAAAATGCTGGCCTGACACAGTAAATTTTTAAGAGATAGAGAGGTGGGCAAAGGAAGTATATTCCTCAGAGGCTACCACTTTGATAGACCTTCAGTTCACTATGGACTGTTAGAGTGTAAACAAAGCTATGCCAGTCTCGTTCAGGACTAGCTAGGGTGGGCTCCCTTGTCTGCTGTGTACATCTGCCGGAAAACTAATGACACATAAAGTGAGGAAAACATGACACATAAACAGAGGCAAGAAAATGACATTCTGGTGGCCCCTCAGGTGTCTGGTGGTATCATGTGAATGGGCGGGTCGATGGATTTGGATTAGGAAGCCATCTTCAGTTTCATAGTCTAGCTGTAGAACAGGTCAGGATGCCAAACAAAAGCATAACTGGGAGACAGTCCAGTGTAAAGAGCATGTATGTAGGGCCTGAACTGTGCAAACCCACTATGCCAGATAGCTGTGGGATTGGACACATCATTCACCATCCAGTCTATGGGAGAGATGTGTACCCACCTGATAACCTGGTCTGTCAATGATGACCAGAAAGGCATGATGGGGAAGTCTTAAGAATAATGACTGCAAAGCTGAATTATGGGACCCCAGAAATATAGTCTATTGAAAGAAATAGGAGGCCTGTGGGATTTGAGCTGCTCCTTTAAGCATGAGTGAAGATGGTGATGAGGGTGCCCAAAATGGAGGAAAGATGCTTTTCATCCCAGGAATTAGGTGTACTGCTGGCAGCGTTCCTGTGAAGTTAGCCTGATTGGCCCCCTTGGATCTTACACCCATCTTCAACTACCAGGTGGAATATATTGAGGGATTAAGCTACAGGGGATAGACACAGATCTGCAGCCTGCTTTTGTCCACAACCTAAGAAATGATTTTACAATTAGCATTGTAACGGGGAGGTGAAAATATGCAACAGGCTTATGTGGTCTACAAGGCTTAAAATAGTCACCATCTGGCTTGTTGGATTAAAAAATGAGCCAAGTAGGATCTACCTTTTGGAGCTTGGGAGTTAGATCAGCCACCGTCAAAGTGTGTGGGCTTCTAGGAGAGAAAACAAGTAAAAGGCAGCACCAGGAATAATGGCGATGGGTACCAAGTACTAAAACAGGATCCCAGGTTAGATGCAGAGAGCTTAGGTCAGATGGAACTACAAAGAGTCATTTTGGGAAATAGATGTCAGGAAGCCTAAGAGGGACGGATTGACTGCCGCAGCCTGAGGGGGAGAAGGATCAGAACTTAAAATAAAAGGACTGCCAGCTGGTGCTGGGGGAGATGGCTGTGTGTGTCTCAGCCGGGGGAAGATAGAGGTCCTTTTGGCTCTGTTGGGTGTGCAAGTCTGTCAGATGCTCAAATAACAGTATCAGGAAGGCAGGTAGCAATACAAGGGAACAGAATCAGAATGAGGACATCCATTTAAGACCCAAGAAGGTAGAAGAGGTCACCAAGCCTAAGGAAAGTGAAGAGAGGAGAAAAGAGAAGCTAGAACAAAGAAGGACCCCAGAGACGGGAGCCAGTAGAAGAAAAGATAAAAACCCATTGGATTTAAAAACAGGAGGTTTTAGTGACCTTGAAGATTCAGCAGTGTATTGGGAACACTGTTAACTACAAAGAGAAAAACTTCTAATTCCATGCCCCATTTTCTGAAGTTTTATTTTTGTGGCGCTGGAGATCAAACCCATGGAACTTTCTATCACTGAATCAGACTCTGGCTTCAAAACCTAAGAAGAATGACAAAGTATAGACTTAACTTCCCTAATAAAATCCAAAATTATTACAGAACCAGAGCAAAGCCCTCAGCAAGCCAAGCTCCAGTCCCAGAGAAAGTATCGTCATGTTCAAATTACATTTTTTTCTAAAAAACATTGATTTTGTGTTAGCATTTTTACATTTACTAATCACATCAAAACATGGGGCAGGATTATATCATCTCAGGAGCTGCAGAAAAAGATTCGGAGAAGCTGACTTTGGTGGATTACTTAGGCCTGTAATCCTAGCATAAAGTTGGCTGAGGCAGGAGGATCATTGCAAAGCTGAGGATAGCTTGGGCTACAAAATGAAACCGTACCCGAAGAAAAAAGGGTGGTGGGGTAAAAGATTTCCAATAAAATCCAAGATCATTTCTGTTTGGTTTTGGTTTTCGAGACAGGATTTCTCTGTGTAACCTTGGCTGTCCTGAACTCACTTTGTAGACCAGGCTGGTCCCAAACTCAGCGATCTGCCTGCCTCTGCCTCCCAGAGCGCCGGAACTATGGGTGTGCACTACTCACAGGCTTGGAGAACTGCTCTTAGAAAGGTAGGGATAGAGCTTCCTTAGTCTAAGGAAGTCTATATTAAGATTCCACTAAAGCAATAGTTCTCAACCTATGGGTTGCAACCTCAAACAACCCTTTCAAAGGGATTACCTAAGTCCATCAGAAAACACAGATTTTACATTACATAATCCATTATGTAGTTATTCATAACAGTAGCAAATTACAGTTATGAAGTAGCAATGAAAATCAATTTACAGTTAGGGGTCACTACAACATGACCTGTGTGAAAGGGTCACAGCATTAGGAAGGTTGAGAACCACTACTGTAATAGAACAAACCAATAGAGTATATATTAGTGCCTAAACTAGTAGAAGAGTGTATGTTACTGTCTGGGTCTGCTTTCTGTTGCTCTGATAAACACCATGACTAAGCAACTTAGAAGAAAGGGTTTATTTCAGCTTATACTTCCAGGTACACACACTGTCACTAAGGGAACTCAGAGCAGGAGCTGAGGCAGAAACCATGGTGGAATGCTGCTTACTGGTGTGCTCCCTGTGTCTGTACAGCTTCCATTTTTATACAGCCCAGGACCCCCTGCCTAGGTACCTCTGAATGCCCCACAGACATGCTCACAGGTCAATGGGATTGTGACAATTCTTCTACTGAGAGTCCCTCTCTCCAACTAATTCTAGTTTATGTTAAGTTGGGCAAAAACAAAAACAAACAAACAAAAAAAAAACCCAATATGGTTACAAAGGCAATTCATTAGAGGTAGTTCAACAGTGACTGGTTGCACACTGGCAAAGCTGAGAACCTGCTAGATGCTTATTCCATGTGGCAGAGGTTTCAGGTTGGCACTGAAGGCCTGAAAGATTCCTGGAGAGCCACTGGTCTGAGGCCCACAATTGGAAGGGAGTAGAAGCTGGGTTCCGCTAAAAGCAAAGGATAGTAACACCAACACCTCAAGGAGCAAAGGTAGTCAGGCAAAAAGCCGTAGCTTTTCCCTCTGACCTATCTGGGCTGCCTCAAGAAGGTGTCCACACTTGAGAAAGATCTTCCCCCCTCAAATCCTTCCCAGAAATGCCCTTACAAACCCACTCAGAGGCTTATGTCTGTTGATTCCAGTCCAAGCTGACAATCAAAAAAATGAGCTGTTAATGAAAACACCTGAAACAAACTCAGAGTGCCAAAGAATATTCTCTGAATTAGACACAAGACAGGAATGTTTTTCTTCCCACCACTGTCTGCAACCACCAGAGTCTGGTCAACCCAGCAAGACAGACATGGATTGAAATGGGTAAAGGTTTTCATCCGCAAGTGAATTAGTAAGACAAGATTGCAGAGTTTAAAGTTGGCAAGCACCACCCAAAAATTATTTTCTCTGAATCAGCAGCAAATATGTAACTTAAGGATTTAACTTTAGGGGG